TGTATTATTGGTGCAATGCTGCTCTCTGGACACAATGTGACTATTTGGCTTTCAATGTGATGGTGTGATCTGGAATTGTCATCTCGCTGTTACTTATTTTCCTTGCACTTTTTTGAAAACATTTCTAATTAATTCATTTTCGAAAATTTTGAAACTACTTATTTCTTCCTCGAACTTTGAAAATAATTCTCATTAATTATTATTCGAAAATATTTTAGAATTAATTAGTTTCGTTCGAATTAGTTAATTCTTTTCCGAAAAAATTGAAAGTACGTTAGAATTAATTAAATTCTTTTTCGTGATTTCTTTTGGAAATTCAAAAATAATTCTAATTAATTCTTTTTTCCATTCGTAAAATTCCTTTTTGCCATTTTTCTTGAAATTGTTACGATCCTGGCCAATTTCGAAGTATGCATTCATCTGAAAGTACAATGCCACCCAATTGCAAAAAGAAATAAATGAACTTGAGAGGAAAGAGAGGGAAAGAAGAAGAAGAAGAAGTGAGAAAGGAGAAGATGATGTACTCCAGCATAGACCAATGTCAAGACTCTTCTTCTTGGCCAACCAATCTCTTCCTCCTTATCTCCTCCCTCTTATTCAAACAAGAAATAACAATAATAATGTTGAATGACTGAACCAGAATCCATGTCCGAATCCCACTTCTACTGCAGGCACAACATGAGGTCCACCATAGCCATGGCCACCCTTCTCCTTCCTCTACATATAGGCCGAGGCTATGGTGGATTACTGAGGCTTCAGCCTCCTGTCCAAAGGACAACATAAAGCAGCTATGTCGCTGCCCTACTCCAAGGTCATCACCATGCAGCTATGCCGCTGCCCACTCAGCCACCATGCCTGACTCTGTCCCGAGCCTCCTTGATGCGGCACTACCCCCAGTGGGGCCTTCCTGATGCAGCGCCTAGCAAGGAGATGAAAATGGTGTCTACCATATCCAGTAAGTGCCTCGCCACTCTCCCGCTTGGTCCCCTTCTCCCTCCTCCTCCTACCGGTAGAGCTCCACCATAGCCAAGGTGGGAGCTCCCGGCTTCTTCCTCCCAGCAGCGCTGTAGTACCCAGCGCTACTCCAGCCAGCGCTCCAGCAGCGTGTCGCCAAACTAGCACACTGCAGAATGAGGCTGGGCTCTCCGCCCGACCTCTTGATATAGCGGCCTACTTGCCTCCTGGGCGGTGACTTCCAGGCCGCTCGGCCTCTCCAAGCAACCGGTACTTCGGAGGGAAACATCATTGCAGACCCTGATATTACCCGTACAGGCTCTAGACTCAGACTGGTTGGACTGGTACCGGCCTAGACCTACCGCTACTGGACTCTAAAAATGCCAACTTTGTCTTTTTCTGCTCGGCCTCCAGTACCCCCTCACGCCAACTGCAGTGGGGTGCAGTATCGGCCTACCGGCCTACTTGAGTGTTTTTCTGCTACCCCAAGGGCCGCGGGGCCGCTAGCTTCGCCACTTGAGTGTTTTTCCCTGCTACAACCCTCAATGCCACAACCACAGGTAAGTACCGGCCCTACGGGCCTGCCAAACAAACAAGTACCCTTGTGGGTCACACACACACTCATACTGACAAGCACTCAGAGTGGCACGCAGGTCACAAGCACGCACACACAGAGAGACTTAGAAAACACAGCAGAATGCAGGAATCTCAGCAATGCATCCTAAACTACTCTAGTCCTGTCACTACAGGACAATTGGCTGATCATGAGGCATTTAAGGAGATACCCCATAATATGTTGTAGTTGTTCTCTTTGTATCAATTTTCTTTCCCACTTCAGTCTCTTCCCTAATCTTCCCCATCTTCATCTCCGCCGCCTTCAAGTCTCTTTCCCACCTCTCTGCCACCTCCGGGCGCCTCGTCCGTTCCTGAGCCAGGCGCAACTTCCACTCCAATTGCTTCTCTTGTTCCATTTCTTGTCGGCGCAAGGGGTCTACTTCTCCTTCCAATTCTCTAGCAACAACTTCCCTTTCTGTCTGGGGATCCATCAATTCCGCTTCCTTCTCTTCCTGCAGTGATAAAGTAGCTACCCACTCTCATACTGCCCTTTCCACCTCCTTTGGTGGGGTTCTGTTGGAACTCGCCTTCCCCCTTCTTCTCACCAAGGCCTCTTCTTCTTCGGCTTCCACTTCTTCCTCTACTTCCTCTTCTTCGGCCTCGACTGCTGCCAACTTCTCCTCATGCTTGTTCTTCCACTTCTCCAACTCTTCTTCCATTTGCCTCTTCTTGGCCGTCTCTTCTTCCAATAGAGCCAACTTCTTCGCCTGCTTWATCAACTCCTTCTCCATTTTCTCCTTCTTCTCTCGGAGAATAGCGGCGGCCCTCTCTTCTTGTGCCTTGCTATAGGAGGTAGTGCTCGTTTCGGTCCTGCTGGTCACCATGTTCATAGGGCACAATCACTGGCGATTCCAGTGCTCAACACGTAGACCTACCAACTTTGACTTTCTAAGGACTGCATAGGTCTTTCTTCAGCTTTAGCCAGGTTACCACAACCGACGGATGCTTTTGCAACCACTGTCACCGAAACTTTCCACAAACGACGGATGCGAGAACAACCACAGTCACCGAAACTTTCCACGGCCTTCGGATGCTTTCACAACCACTGTCACTGAAACTTGCCACAACCGATAGATGTGCCTTAAATCACTGTCACGGAAACCCACCTGGTTTCCACTTCAGATTGACACACTGCCAACTACTCGGCTCTGTCCTAAACTACTCTAGTCCTGTCACTACAGGACAATTGGCTGATCACGAGGCATTTAAGGAGATACCCCATAACTCCTCAAGAATTCTTTAACATCGCAGACAGGACGACCATCACAACCAAAGTCCTCTCAAGACTTAGACAGACTGGATACCCGCCCTGCAGCTCGGGGTTCGGGTATAGTGTGCCACCCAGAGCAACCTGCCGGTATGTACCGGTCCTTGGGGTGTTTTCCCAAGTTGTCTAGAGTCAGACACACCTTAACCCCTACTAAGTACCGTGCAGACACTGGCTCACAGCCCCTATCCGGAGTCCTACCGACCTGGACAGAAGTGACTGGATGCAGAAAGAGATGACAGACTGACTCCCAGCGAGTACCAATGTGAGTGTGCACATCCACAGGGTAACGCGGGAAGGGCCAGGGCTTGAAGAGATTGTACCACTCTCTTCGTGCTTCAGCTTGGTCAACGACACTGGTCAATGTCGGTCAACTCTTCTTGGTTAAAGCTCGCCGGTCAATGCTTGCTGGTCAACGCTTGGTCAAAGTCTGCAGGTCAACGCTTGGTCAACCCTCCTTGGTCAATACTTGGCTATGGTGCCTGTCTTCCCTGCGTCACCCCTCTCTCTCTCACTTGCGTCACCTTCCTCCTCTTAAATGTCGTCTTCTTCCTTTTTCGAACTTGGCAGCTATGACCACCGTCCGCTATGGCGGACTCTCTGTTCTTCTTCACGGGGCTCCCTCTTTCTCTTCCTCTCTCTCTCTCTCTCCTCATCGCATCCAGCTGTGGCGGTCTCCTTCTTCTCCGCAGCTTTGTCGCTATGGCATGAACACTGTCCCCCTCTCTCTTGCAATTGAACCCTAAACCCCTGTATAAACCATGCTACAACCTCGCAACCTCGCTCTACACACACCCTTGAACCCAGTCCACCCTCCCCTTGACCCTGATTCATGATGTCTGATCTGCGCTTGCCCTCGCCTAGCCTTGTCCCATCTGTCCTCTCCACTACCTTGTCTCTCTTGTCCAATGCTTGTGAACCTGCGTGACGCCGGCGATAAAGGATCTAATGGCTCGCGCACGAGGACGATGGCCTGCTGCCTCACTGTTCATGGAGATTACGCAGCTGGTTTGGCCACCATGCTGTTTCATCGGTCGGCATCCCAACTCGCGGACTTACTGGAGCAGCAACTTGTGACATGGATCTTTGCATCAGTCTGCGACTTCCTTGCTTCCAGATCAGACCTCATYGCAGTTCGTGTACCGGACGCACCCTAGCACTTGGACTTTGACACTTGAACTACTACTATGCTTCTTGGACTTCTACCTGTCGCAGCCGCTGAAGACCGCTTCTACCTCCTACTCCAAAGACCTGATCAAGACCGCTGCAGACCCCCTTTCAAGACACTTGGACACTTTGTTCCTACATGAGGTTCTGCTTCCGTCTCCTTCGGGCACACCAGCCCTTGCATCCTGAACAAACATTTTCATTTTTATTTTCCCTGACTTTGACAACCCTGTAGAACATCATTAGCAGATCCCTGTTTCCCTA